GCCAAGGTCTCACAGTCCAACGAAAAATACTTCGCAGTATGGTGTTTCTTGGCATGTGGTTGCTGGGCACTTCACGGATTTGGAGCTTCGAAGTTTGCGCCTGGCCATTGATTGAGAAGTCATTGATATGTTTTCTTTGTGTGTGTGTGTGTTGCGTGGATTCGTTTGGTTCCTTCTCGGCTTTTGAACCCCACTGTCAGGACGATCAAAAGTCTCCACATGGACAGAGGTTCCATGGTTGGTGTCCCTGGGCTCTCAAGGCTCGCATTTGAGGTCGAGGGGTCGATTTGGGGTTTCATGTCTGGCGAGGGCGAAGCTGAGAAGACACGCCCGGGCGCCCACGCATTTGCAACATCGAGCGGGATCAAAAAGGGTGGAGCTGGCAGAAAGAAACAGATGACCTTCAACAGGTTCTATTGAATGCGTTACAGTTTGCAGTTATGTAGGTAATGAGCATCATAGAACCGTGACCAGGACGAAGCAGATCAAGGTCGGCAAAATCTAAGCCCTCATGGTTGATTCACCAAATTGAGCGTTACAGTTGTTTCTGACATCAAGTAATTCGTGCGTGCTTGACGTGACAAACGCCCCCAGAAGATCTCAATCATTGTGCAACACAGGCACGCCAGAAATACTTGAATTGTGATACCACATGACATGCTGTTTCATGGCTGCAGCTGCCACGGGACTGCAGTTGTTTTTGCATACTTAGTTTTGCACTGGCACAAGTTGGCGTGGCCCTTCGAACTTTTACTATGCGAGTGCAAGACGAAGGAGGGCCCAAGCAGGTCAGGGGCTGCATATAAATGTCTTTAGACATTCTACATCAGTTGCTCAGCTGTGCTATGACCATGGCAACTGTCCTGATTTGAGCTGGTACCGATCCATAGACGGTTAATGTTCAACATATGTTTCAGCTGCATGTCAAAGCTCGACCCAGTATGAGCCTTCCTGCAAAAGCATTAAGAAAGCGATCCGACAAAGTTCAAGAGGTATGTTACGCATCCCTGGGACTCCGTCGCAGAGGTTTGCAAGCCTTGCACGGAGATGTGATGGGGGTAAACACCCAAATGCTTCTGTCTATAGACCAGCTGATTGGATCATCGAACCACGTTTTCTCCGCTCCAGGCGGAATCCACAAAGCGAAAAGGCCATGCCATCGGCCCGAGTTGCTCAGGCACCAAGACGGTCCGCTTCCGCCAGAGCTCTTGGACGGGCGAAAGAAGGGACACACCAGAGCTGCTTCGACCTGGGTGTGTGTGAAAATGGTTTGCACCCCCAACAATGGTGGTCTTCTTTTTGGCTTTCCATTTCGGCCCCACAAAGGGTACCCTCAAAGCGAATCCAAGGGAAAGATGCCCTCGGGGCACGGGACGCAGGACGGCCGCTGTTCAAGGTTACCAGGTTCAGCTCAGGAGGTTAAGGCGATGTTCAGTTTTCTGGTCCTTTTCCACCTGGTTGTGTCCTGTGTTCTCAAGGGAAGCTCGGCTGGTAAACTGGGCCGGGCGCAGTGAAATACCTTGGATCGCAAGCCAGGGCAGGGCAACTTTCAATGGTTCAAGGATGAAATGAAGTAGACATCCATGATTAGACAATTGGTTGCGCCGATTGCGCCGCTCTTCCGTGTCACCTGTCCAAGTGGGCTGCAAGCAAAGTCGAACGGCTGCCAACGTAATGGGCCATAGCATCATTGCTTCAAAGCGTGGAGGTGCTCCGGCTTAGGCAGCCCGGACCGCAAAGAATCACCCCGTTGGGTTTGGTTTGTGTTGTGTAGTGGTCTGTCTGAAATTCTCGTGACCACGTGACGAACCACATCATATTCAAGGGATCTCGATGACTATATTCGACAAGGAGCCATGCAAACAGAGGCGTCCAATCCGTTTTGGTCAGTGTTGAAAGAGTCGACCCGATTTATCCAAGTCTTGCAGATGTCCAACAAGCATCCGGCTTAGGGCAAGAGTCTTCGGCTAGAATGGAATTGCGAGTTCCAGTACGCACACGGCGATGTCACATGGCTTGCATTTGGTGCCTAAAAGGAGAGAATTGGTTTTAATAGCGACGAATCGACAAAGGAGATTCGAGTTGTCTGAGGCCCGACAGAGGCCAGCATTGCCGGCTCTCCGGCAGCCCGGCCCCCAGAGAAAGTTGCTGGTGCCATTCCCGGGCGGTGAACATGATTTGGACTGTGCCAACACGCGGGATCCCGCCAGCTTACTTGGGGTACCATTTCCATGCACATGTTTTTCTTAAGCGGCCGATAGAAACAGAAAGCAAGAAGTGCCATGACAATCCCCATGAATTCCAACGGCCGAGTCGTCGAAAGGTGCCGCTTTAAGTCCGAGCCCAGTGGCCATCAGGAGCCGGAGAAGGATTTGGAGCTGTACCCGCGCGCGGGCAGCTTCGGAGGAGCCTGAGCGCGGCAGCTTTGGAGGACCCAAACTGCGCTGCAGCTGGAGGGTTTCTGAGTCTGGCAAGGGAGAAGTGTTGGTTGCTCTCCCCTGGAGTTCCTCAGGTGGCGGATTTTGACATGTTGTTTGCGCAAGTCAAGCGCGACCATTTGTTGTGTCCCAATTTGAGGTGGTGTGTCCAATGACCAGGTGTGAACATTCCACTCAGCCAACACATTATAAAACACTGCAGTGAAACTTGGGAGGCGCACGGACCTCGTTTGAGAGTCTCACCCTGACGCGGACTGTGTGTGATTAAGCCCTTGTTTGGTGTCTCTGGGCATCCAGAATCCGCAGAGAGGGAGAGGGAGAGAGAGAGTGTGTGAGAGGAGCTTCATCGACTGAGCAGAGTCTCAAGAGGCTGGACCTGTGCCGCTTCGAGTTTTGACCCATTGGAACAAGCGACTATCTTGCTGAGTTGGTGCTCTAAATTTTGGGGCAATATTTAATCACATCACATCTTCACTTTCAGGTCAACTCAGCATGCGTAGCTGACAAGCAGGCGCCTGAGCCAATGACGACACTTCAGGAAGGCATGAATTCTGATGGCTGGAGGATTAGACATTGGTCCACCGTAACGAGGTGTTCCTGCTTGCGGGCCTGCGGAACGCCTGCGTTCTTGTATGCGTTCCTGCATGTTTGTGCGTGGGGGGGGGGGTTTGCCATCGGGAGCCAGCTCGAGGAGGCAAAAGCACTCGCATCGAATAAGCGCCATCTTGGAGTTGACGAGAAATTCCATTCGGAGCCTCTGCATCCCGGAAAGGTTCTGAGAACCCTTATGACCACGCTGGGCTTGGGCCCCTTGTTTTTTTCCTAGCAGTGCAAAGAAGCGCCTAACTACTGGCAACTCATGCTGTATGCACTAGGATTAGGGTTTGGGGGCAGGAGGGTGCTACGGACAACTGCCAAAGTGGAAATCGAAGTCGTCCGAATTGCCATTGAAGACTAGTAGGCCCACAAGTCATGTCGTTTTGAGGAGTGCATGCATGCTCTCAATTCGCAAGAATTCCTCTTTGAATGCTTTTGGTTGAAGGGGTGACAGAATGCGAGACGACGTTGCACGATGCCATGTGGTGCAAGGTTGCCGAAGTCAATGTGTGCTTTTGCATGCTGGGATGGCTGTGTTGTTTGAGATGGTAGGGCACGAGCCTTTTGCGCTTAGACGGTGCTCCTGTGTACCTCCTTTCGTTTGGGACACACGTTGTCGATGATTCTGTTCAGGGATGGTCTTGATTTCGGAAGGTGTTTCATTACCTCATGTGTTTGACCACGGTGCTAGAGCAAGGTTGCAAAACCAGGTGGTGTGTTTATAGGCATTGTTTGAGAAGGCTTCAGGGACCTCGTGCCTCGCAAAGCTGACGTTGTGTTGGCATTCCACTGTGATAAGGGGAGCAGGTGAGAGAGGCGTAGGTCATAGGCTTAGCGGCATAGCATTCGCAGGGAATTGCAGTAAGTTTGCTCTTGCGTTTTCAATGCCGATTTCCGTGGCCCGCCCTTCAAGTTCACAGACTGCCCGTGTTAAACGACACGAGCCTAATGATTCGGCAAGTGATAATCAGCCTGGTGAAGCTGGAACGATCACCCAAAGGTGACGTTTCGGATAACACAGCCATACATGTATTTGTTCTGAAAAGCGTCAGCCACCAGACAGCCATGGCAACCTCATCAAAGGAGAACAGACCCCTGAAATGAAAGGAGGGGCTCGCACGCTTCTTGCCCACAGTCCCTAGTCCTGCCCAGGTCCCTAATTGATGGGCGCGCGCGTGGGCCTCAGCCGGCTGTGGGAGCCCCATATCCATTAATTGGGTCCCGCTATGTGTGATACAAACACGATAAAACCTTGGTCTTTGGCCAGGGGTTCAGGCACAAAAGCATCCACACTGATGGGGCACAAGGTAGTTGCCCATATGTGCGGTGCAAAGAACCTTTTAACGCTTTTTGCATGACGTTGCAGTCAAATGTCGCATTCGCATTCGCATTTCAGTTTGCACGAAGTCCTCGCAAGAAGTCATATTGTAACGTGTCCTTGATGCAACTGGTGTTCTTCCCACTTATTTATGCCTTTGCTGATTGCTCCGCAGGGCGGTTGGCATATTTTTCCGTTTCAGCTCCTGATTTCTTTGTTCATCACATCGCCGAACCGCTTGCCGTGCCAAACCGCTGTAGGCTGCGTGCATGAGCTTTGGGCCCACGCTCTCAGTGCCCAAATTGGCGGCAGCCGTTTGCACGAATTCGCGGAGCGGTGCATTCCGAATTTGCGGCAGAAAGATGGACTCGCTGAAGAGCTTCAGGACAGAAGAAGCGGTTTCTGGCCTGTTTCAGTCCTTGGCATTGTTGTGGCGTTTACAGCCCATGGCAGCTTTCCCTGTGAGTCATGACGAGTTGCTACATGTGGGGCTTTCTTGTGTTGCTTAATTATTTCTGTTGGGCTATGCAATGTCCAAGGAGTGGCCCGTATTCAGGTTCGAGGGTGCCAGTCCCTGCAAGCAAACGTAGCACCCAGATTTGGCCACCGTCAGGAGAAGTAACCAGGACTTGAGCAGGTATCCCGGCAGGGCTCAAGGATCTAGACGCGTCCACTGTCCAGCCGACCCATGGCAGACACGCGGCTATTCAGGTACACGTGGGGCGATGAAGGCGAGAGGGGACGATGATGGCCGGTGGAATTACTTTCTGGTACTGCTAACCTTGCGAGCAGTAACATGCTGCCAGACTGTGGCCAAACTTCGACATGTCATGCGCAACCCGACTTTCGCTGTTTGTTTGGCACGTGGGAAATAGCTACCCTCAGCAATGTTTGTCAGCACATTGGGTATGAAACCTGCATGGTACCAGTTCTAAGGTGCTTGCAGCTTCCCACTGGACGCTTTCCTTGCTTCCTTTTAAAAGGTTTTATGCAATGCAGGCTCCATGCTTGTTCCATGCTTCCAAACAACGGATCAATAGAATTGTGAAGGCACAGGACTTGCTGGTGCTCAGGGAGTGAGAAATGGAATGACCCTTACAAACCACCCAACTGGTGGTTTCCTAGGCAATCCGCAGGTCCTGCATTTCCCATCCTTTCATCTCTCTCTGTTTCCTTTCTTTTCATGTTCTATTTCCTTCCTCCGTCTACCCACTGCATCCGATAGGCGATGATAGAACATGAATGGAGAGATATCATAGCATAGCAACCAACTTCAATTTAGAAGCATTTCAGCATTTCTACAATTCTTTGATTGCATTCTCAGAGTTCCCCACTTATCGCACCAGGAAGCGCCAGTTCCGCCAGGCTTGGGCCAGGCGCTGCTCAATGCGCTCCGCTGGTCCCGGCAGATGGTGGCATGGCAGCTGGCGGTGGAGCTGGAAGCGACTTGAACCGAGGTGGCTGAAAATGTGCAGCCGCGAAAGAAGAGGCATCCTTTTTGTTGGGGTGGGTGGGGGGGGAGGAGGGCTGGTTTGGGCTCTTAGTTTGTGAGGAAACAGAGATGAGAGATCAGCCTTGATTTTGTATATCGGCCTCATCGCGCGATAAGACTCCCTGGCCTCATGCGTTTTGGACCAGAGAGTGTTCCTTGCCTTCCTTGGTGATTTCCTTTATCGTCTAGGCAGTGCAAATGGAGTCGTTCTAAATTGATCAGAGGCACAGTGGATGGCCACGGGAACCTTTGAGGGCAACCCGATTCAACAAAAACGCTCAGCCGAGGCCGCCAAGGATGATCCCCGAGCTGTGAGGCTTGAAATGCGTGCCCCGGGTTCAGTCCGCAAAGAGCTTCAGCCACATGGAACGCAGACTTTGGAAAAGTATGCCAATGCCAGCGAAAGAAATGGAATGGGTGGGAGCTGCGTGTTCAGATGAGAATGCCCCGCTGCACAGCAGGGTCGACTGATGTCATTTCAGCTTGCTCGGCCATCAATGCTTTGGTCGCGGGACCGGGTGGGATTTTCACAAGCAGCTAAGTCCTCACAGAAGCCTCGCTATCGTCAGCCCACAATATTGTGGGAGAACGGCTTAGCACAAGCCGTATGTCAAGTTTCCTGCATTGCTTTGAACTCAGAAGTGTCAACGGTTGGCAGGGAAGTGTCCAACGAAGGCATGTTGTGAAACATTGTACTTTGCTTGGCCTTTAGCTCAACGAGAAACAAAACACTGTACGTGATCAGCGATCATGCTGAAATCGCTCTCTCACTCGTGCTCACGTTTCCTCCATGCCCGGATACGTACACAACAAACACATATCTTTGCCTACAGTAACATTCTGAGTCTATTAGTCTTGCTGCCTTCCAATCTCAGTCTCTTAGGTACCCAAAAATGCTTGCCCTACGCCATTTGCTCATCTCACTCACCTAGTTGGCCCACCTTACCTACCTTCCTGATCTTGCTTACTTCCCTCGCTTTGACCTTGCTCCACTTCACGCGTCGTGTTCCTTGAGGTACAGAGGACGAGTGCCTTGATTGGCAATTTGCCAGTGCAACAGCCACGCTGGACTGGCTGATGAGAAGCTTCCCAGAGGAAGCCAAGAGGAGAGGGAGCCACGCTGCGCAAAGGGGGCCGAACGTTTGACGTCTATGTCGCCAGGGGTGTGTTCCCTTCGAGACGGGAACTTTTTGGATTCCTGTGGAGGCGAGCAGAAACGAAATCCTTCAGTCCGCGAGGCGAGCCTGGCCACAGTGGCTTTTGTTTGCTTCACACTGGCACCTTATTCTGCCAAAATCCTGGCTGACGATTGTGAGTCTTGTGTCAATCATTGCTTTCCAGCAGTAAAACGGAATGGCGCTGCCAGATAAACATGGTGTCAAGCAAATTGCAAACGCAGAACCGTATCAAACTCCTGCATGTTCAACTGCATGCTAGTGGTTGTACAAGAGCAGAACAGGATCGGATTATCTCGGGGCTTTTCTTGTGGTTTGGAGGATTTGGACATCCAATCTCCGATCCGAAAGGAGACCGCCGCCTCCGGCCAGCTACAGCTTGTTCCCATTTCCATCGTTGTCCACGCTGCTTGGCTGTGGACCTAATTTATGTAACTCATGGACAATGTGAAATCGTACTGGAGTTGGATGTCAAGCCCAGCCGCATGATGGTTACCGAGCAGATTAGTGTCTCCATCACAGAGTAGCTTGCAGATGCATGTTTGCCTGGTCTGAATTGTCCCAAGAGAATGGCTTGGAGACTGCGACATGAATGCCATGCATGGACATGCTGCCTCCTGTGAATACTGAAGATGAAGTTGGCCCCAAGCGCCCACCCCCCCCCCACCCCTCCGACCAGCCCCAGGTGCATCACGACCACGGCACAGGACGACCACGAGCTCGAAGTTACGGAGCGGCCGCCAGAGGCACCTCCGATGGAGGCACAGGAGCCTTGAGTAAGCCTCCTAAAAACTATGGCTTTCGCGCTGCAATGGTGGCCTTTGTGTAGGAAATGTTGAAAGTATTTTGCTAGTAAGGATTATCAAGTCTTTCAAAACTGAAGCCTCTTCATCCTTGCTTCGAGGTGCAAGGGGAAGAGGACATGTCGGAAACATATTAGCTCGAGTCGGTACAGCCCCGAAAATTCATGCAAGACTCGAACTAGTGCGTTAGTTTCTGGCAGGAAAACCAGTGTCATGCCGTAGGCCTAGGGTCATCTACACGGTAATCTGGGAAGGGGGTTGGGAGAGAGCCTCAACCAACCAGATGGTTGTCCATGTGGAAGTGCCACAGCAGACACCATTTCTCACCAGCTGCAAATGTTGTTGACTTTCTGCCGGCGTTCAGCGTCACACTGCGGCCCATGATGCCGATATGCGAGTTCCTGTTGTGAAACAAGGAGCTGAAGCTGGGTCCAGCTGTGGCTCAACCACCAAGAGTGACAACGACGATGCTTGCTTTGCTTGTTTGAGGACTTCAGCCTGCCAACACAGCAGTGCAGCAGTGAAGCGCTGTTCAAGGCCAAATCGTGTGTTCGGCCAGGACTGGCAGGCCTGGGCGCACACACACACACACACACACACACACACTGAACTCACTCTGAATCTCATCCTTTGAGTGCGTCAGGCACCTTGAACTAGCGTTTTTTGGCCTTTGAACCAGTGCTTGTGTCGTCAGTTCATGCTCCAAAGAATGTTGTTGCAGAATGTGCTCCGACGCTCCTATATGAATCTGTTGGCGTGGTTGGCAGCCGCGTCGCTATCGTTCTCCTGCCCACACTCGCTGCGATATCGCGACATTCTGTGGCTCATTGACAACAAATCGGCCTAGAGATCTACTGTTTGCGCTTCGTCAGCCGCCTGTGTCAGCCACTTGTCCCTGCTCGCAGGCCTACACTCTGCTGAGCTGTACTGTCATCCTTGGTTTGAGGGCGTGCCCACGCACCAAACGTCAGTGACCCCCCCTCAGCCAAGGCGGATGAAGCCACCTTTGGCACTTTCGGCGCTGTGGCACCTGCGCACTCCTGGCTTACAATCCATTTCAGTTTTTGCAACGTTAGAATGACTAGGGCGTTTGATCCCCAAACTTGCTTCATTTAGGCACTCAATGTCTCAGGTGCTTGAGTGGGCTGAAAACCGAGTGAGAAGCCAAGCTGATTTAACTTAGCCCTTCTTCTAACTACAATAGTTGGAATCAGCTTGGCCTGGCTTTGGCAAGCTGGCATAAACATTGATGGCTGCGAGGTTCAAGTCAGTCATAGATTGAAGACTTTGTCCAAGCACCCACAGGCTTTACGGAGCGTCTCATGTGCCTCCCAAATTACATAATCAGAGGCGCGTGCGCCAGCCATGCTTTCGCAGTTGCATTTCCTTGCGCCGCTTCAAGATCCGTTGCTGGATGGCGCAGCAGATGTGCTTGGTCGGGACTTGCAGTGCTGCCACGACCTTCACTTGCATTATGAATTTCGTCAGCTTTATTTGGCATGTGTGTGCACGTGTGTGCACGCACGTGCTTAGCGTGCTGTGCGTGCCCAGCGCTTGGCGCTTGCCTCCTTGTAATACCATCAGACATTGACACGCAGCCAGCTTTCTTCAAGAGAAGAAGGCTCGCTCGTTCACTAGGGACAAACTGGCTAGATACACATGATTAAGATTCCTGTTGCGGATCCTTTGTGGCTACGCATCCCAATTTGCAGCGGAACTTTTGACACAGTGCTGCACATCGGTTGGCATGGGAAGGAGCCAACGCCTGAAGCTGACGAATATGATCCCTCCAGCCTGCTGGCAGAGGAGGACATTCAGGCCAAGTACATGTGGGCAGATGCCCGCGTGCTGCTTGGCAATGCCAACCTGAAACCTTGAAATTGACCCATGGTCTATGGAGTCTAGCCTGCGGTTTGCTGTTGCGTGCATGTTGCCGTAGTTTTCAATTGTTTGGGGATCTAGGTGCCCCGAACGCGGGGAGGTGGTGCTTGACAGGGACAGAATGGGATCGACATGGATACGCACAGCATTCAGGATGCCACGTTGACACAGCAACTGCATGTTGTGTTTGTTTTGACCAGAATTTGCTTTGAGTCAGTGGGCAAAGATAGTTATGGTGTGAGTTTCATGTCAATATCAATTGGTTGGCGTCAGAGCTCGAGGTTCCTCGCAATACCGGCAGCTTCCAACTGGACTCCTTTGCCATGACGCATTGTGGAAGTCTCCCTTCCTATTGTGTTGCATATGTCACACGGGATGTTTCGCCCACGGACATACTGGGCGACCATTAATGAGACTCTGGACCATGTCCACTCTTGACGTGCCACTTCCTTTCTCACCCATGTCTCGCTGAACTTCAACTCCATGCAGTGTTCCTTCCTTTCCGCCCGGCCGCATGCGGCGGTCCGCGTGGCTGAGCTGAGCGGGTTGCTGAGCGGCTGAGGCTGCCCTTCACCCGGGACCTCGCGCAGCGCAACCCCCTGCGCTGGAGCAGCAGGCTGCGGCCCGAGGCCCTGGCCCGGCAGCTGGCGCAGCAGAAGGAAATTCGACCCGTGCAGCTGGAGGCCGACTGCGCCAAGGGCATCTACCAGCCACCTGCCAAAAGGGGTTTCAGGGGCCGAGGGATGATGGGTGCCCAACTAAAACAAAACGCCCACATGTTGGTTGCCAAGTTGAGGGAGATTCTTCCTCATGCCATCGGGCAAAAGGAACCAAGTCTTGGTCTCAAGTTTCAATCAATCAGTAGTATTCTCTTGTTACATCGCCTGAGATGCGCTTGGGATCTGTTCCGAGCCCCACTTGAGGCGTCGCTTCCAAAGCCCGCAGAGTTGTGTCCACTGGCTGCGCACCTCGGCGAGATTCGAAATAAGAACCCGAAGACAAGCATATTAATTTGCGGATGGGCCTGACACGGCGAAATGTTGCCTTTGCTGGAATTCACTTGGAATTTGACAGGGTTGATTGCCCTCGAAAAATGTCATCAGTTTCTTGATGCATGACGGAACGTAGACAAAACGTGGATGTGTTGTGAAATATTTGACCTGGACGTGGGTGGCTTTTTATCAGGTTTCCCTTTGTCCCGGCTTTTTGAGCTCGAAAGGCATGTTCTGAAGTTCCCAGAAGATGGTTGCTCAATTGCACTAAAGTCTGACAGTTGATGAATCATCTCTCGGAGGTGGCTGTTGGGAAGCCGCTCACTTGATTCACCACCAGCACAATCTGAATAAAGGATTCAGGTAGAGCGTCGGGTTCCGGTTGCTTCTCACCTGCAACTCGGGACTTCATTTGGCCGAGGCAAGAGCTTCCTTCATGACCTTGACCGCCTTGATGAGGAAAGACTCTGCCCCTGGGCCAAACTGGAGAGACGAGCTAAGCAAATTGGATGAAGCAACTGAGCCCAGGTACTTGTCTGCTGACCGCGAAAGATTCAAATCAACAACTGTTCTTCTGTATAGCGCAAAGACAACAATGGCAAAGGAATTAGACGAACAAGAGACGGCATTGTTGATGCAGCAAACAAAGAAGACCACTAAATCGTGGTATCGAACGTTTTAGCCGTCGCGATTGCATTCGCGCTAAATGTTGTTTTTACTAGAACTATATATAGTAAGGTTCACCACATTAGGATGTTGGCAGAAGCTCTCTGAGATAGGCAATGCTCATTGAGTAGAAACAACGGAAACAACAATCGGCAAAACGATGCTATAAGTTTTGACACCTGCTGTGAGAGACATGGAGGAATGAGAACTAATATGTGATCGTAGGCCATTCGTATCTATGGGTTTATCAACTAGCTTGACGAACATACTATGAGTCACATTCGCACGTAAATAATTGTCCGTAAGATGGCATGCATACCATGAAGCTGATCGTCGAGATGTTCCAGTCTGTGCAAGCTATTCTTGCCTGGCGGCTTAGCGCAAACTTGGATCAGGAGACCCTAAATGGTTCCAATAAACAGGTTGCAGTCTGCACCACGGGCAATGTGTGAAGCATTCTAGAACCCATTTGTTAGAACCCGGTTTGGCCCCGGTTGAAGTGTTTGAGGGAAGTTGCCGCAAGTTATTCAAGGGAAAGCGTGCCGATGGTGTTTTGCCACAGACTCACCGGCATGTTTGGTGTAGATGACGAAATGCGGCATCATGTTTGGTGTGCTTGCGTCTTTGGATGTTTGCGGACATTGGTGCAAGACTTACATGAATAGCTACCACGTCTCTTGCAAGCATCTATCTGTGTATATATATATATATATATATAATATAGATATATGTGTATATAGATCAACGCGTCCGGCTCAGCTTTCTTATTTGCGTCCCGTTGGAATTGTCCCTTGCCCCCCTTCCCCTCTAAGATCTTTGCCCCCCTTTCCTCCTTTCCCCCCGTTCCCCCCTAAGGCCTTTTCCCCCCTGAGATCTTCTCCCTTTTCCTCCCTAAGATCTTTTCCCACCTTTCCCGTTTGAGATCCTTTCTCCCCTGTTTAAGGCCTTTTCCCCCCGAGAAAGTTTCCCCTTTCCTCCCGAAGATATTTTCCCCCCTTTCCCTTTTGAGATCCTTTCTCCCCTTTCCCCCCTAAGGCCTTCTTTCTGCTGAGATCTTCTCCCTTTTCCTCCCTAAGATCTTTTCCCCCTTTCCCTGTTGAGATCCTTCCCCCCCTTTCCCCCCTAAGGCCTTCCCCCCCCCTGAGATCTTCTCCCTTTTCCTCGCTAAGATCTTTTCCCCCTTTCCCAGTTGAGATCCTTTCCCCCCTTTCCCCCCTAAGGCCTTTTCCCCCTGAGATCTTCTCCCTTTTCCTCCCTAAGATCTTTTCCCCCCCTTTCCCTGTCGAGATCCTTTCCCCTTTCCCCCCTAAGGCCTTCCCCCCCCCCCCCCCCTGAGATCTTCTCCAAGATCTTTTCCCCCCTGGCCCTGTTGAGATCCATTCCCCCTTTCCCCCATAAGGTCTTGTCCCCCCAAGGTCTTCTCCCTTTTCCTCCCTAAGATCTTTTCCCCCCTTTTCCTGTTGAGATCCTTCCCCCCCTTTCCCCCCTAAGGCCTTCCCCCCCCCCGAGATCTTCTCCCTTTTCCTCGCTAAGATCTTTTCCCCCTTTCCCAGTTGAGATCCTTTCCCCCCTTTCCCCCCTAAGGCCTTTTCCCCCTGAGATCTTCTCCCTTTTCCTCCCTAAGATCTTTTCCCCCCCTTTCCCTGTCGAGATCCTTTCCCCTTTCCCCCCTAAGGCCTTCCCCCCCCCCCCCCCCTGAGATCTTCTCCAAGATCTTTTCCCCCCTGGCCCTGTTGAGATCCATTCCCCCTTTCCCCCATAAGGTCTTGTCCCCCCAAGGTCTTCTCCCTTTTCCTCCCTAATTGTTTTTCTCCCCTTTCCCTGTTGAGATCCTTTCCCCCCGTTCCCTAAGGCCTTCCCCCCCCCCCCTGAGATCTTCTCGCTTTTCCTCCCCAAGATCTTCCCCCCTTCCCGGTTGAGATCCTTTCCCCCCTTTTCCCCCCGAGATCTTCCCCCTTTTCCTCCCCAAGATCTTTTCTCCCTTTCCCTGTTGAGATCCTTCCCCCCCCCCCTTTCCCCCGCAAGGCCTTTTCAGATCTTTTCCCTTTTCCTCCCTAAGATGTTTTGCCCCCTTTCCCTGTTGAGATCCTTTCCCCCTTTCCCCCCTAAGGCCTTTCCCCCCCTGAGATCCTTTCCCTTTTCCTCCCTAAGATCTTCTCCCACCTTTCCCTGTTGAGATCCTTTCCCCCCTTTCCCCTCTAAGGCCTTTCCCCCCCTGAGATCTTCTCCCTTTTCCTCCCTAAGATATTTTCCCCCCTTTTCCCTGTTGAGACCCTTTCCCCCCGTTCCCCCCTAAGGCCTTTTCCCCCCTGAGATCTACTCCCTTTTCCTCCCTAAGATCTTTTCCCACCTTTCCCTGTTGAGATCCTTTCCCCCCGTTCCCCCCTAAGGCCTTTTCCCCCCTGAGATCTTCTCCCTTTTCCTCCCTAAGATCTTTTCCCACCTTTCCCTGTTGAGATCCTTTCCCCCCTGTCCCCTCTAAGGCCTTTTCCCACCCTGAGATCTTCTCCCTTTTCCTCGCTAAGATCTTTTCCCCCTTTCCCAGTTGAGATCCTTTCCCCCCGTTCCCCCCTAAGGCCTTTTCCCCCCTGAGATCTTCTCCCTTTTCCTCCCTAAGATCTTTTCCCACCTTTCCCTGTTGAGATCCTTCCCCCCTGTCCCCTCTAAGGCCTTTTCCCACCCTGAGATCTTCTCCCTTTTCCTCGCTAAGATCTTTTCCCCCTTTCCCAGTTGAGATCCTTTCCCCCCTTTCCCCCCTAAGGCCTGTGTCCCCTAAGATGTCTCCGACACTCTCCTCCCCTAAGATCCTTCCCTTTCCCCTCCCCCCCTCCGATCTTCTCCCCAGTTCCCCCCCTAAAATATGTTTCCCCCCTTTCCTCCGAAGATCTTCATTTCCTTTCACTTTCCTTCACTTCGGTTCATGTCCCTGTATGTTTGTTTTTGTTCCTTTTCTTTTATTTCACTTCATGTCATTCATGCATTGCATTTTCCTTCATTTCCAGATTTTCCTTCACCAGCATGGGCAACATCCCCAGCATTACTTGCATCATCCGTATCCTTCGCAGGCGCTGATGCGAATGATGCAGGTGATGCCGATGTTGGTCAGGAGATGCTAAGGATGAAAAAAACGGACCCGGGGGGAATCGAACACCCCAAGCATTTAGAGGCGACTTGGAATCACCGCGTGGTACGTGGCCAACTCCCCCTAGTCTGAAAACCGTTTTTGTGGAGGGGTAAGGGGGGGGTAACAGGTAAAGAGGTATGCCGCCTGGTGTCGGCGGAAATATGTCAATTCCTCCAAACTAGAAGGGCTTCTAGTCAGGGCACTTGATCGCTTGAGGTATTTGCCGTGGACCATCTTCCACGGTTGGAAAGCATTGAGGTGGAATTCAAAGGGTAACCAATCATCTGGAAGGCAAGGCCCCGTCCACTTGTTCGCGGCCAATCCCTTCTGAGGTATCATTTGCCTCACGGAGCCGCGGACTGTTATGCTGATGCCTTGCCGCCACGCGGTGCTTTGTGAAGGCTGCCTCGAGATTCTGTTGCAGCAGAGGAACTGCAGCTGCCCGGTTTGCAGGAGACGGCGCTTGACATGGTTCGCAGGGTGAAAACACGCCTTCTTTCTGAGAATTGTGGAAGCTGCAGGGATCGTTCATCCTTGTCGAAGATTGACAGGCAATTGAAAGCAAGTTCATCGGTTCTTCGCGTGTTGACTTTGTTAGTCATCGCAGAACGGCAGAAGCCGCCATTGCCATGCATCGTATTGCCTTGCGGTCTGCAGTCAGCGCAGCCAGTCATCAGTGCATTTGTTTCTGTCACTTGCCGATTCCTGGCAAGTTGATGCAATGCGTGCTGCAGCGCTATCAGTCTTGCGCAGTTCAGTCTTCCACCTCGCGTCAAGCGAGACATTTGGTCTATCGGCGCGAGCCGTGGGTACTTGGACCGGTCAAAGAGTTTTGACCGGTCAAAACGTTGTAAAGCATGAAGTGATTCAGGCTTGATGCCGCTCATCAAGAAGCTAAGCCTAGTTATCAAGTCCAACTGTCTTTTGAATAGAAGGCACAGTATGAATTCTGCCCGACTCGTTGTTCCGTCGAAAAGATCTCAGCTTTCTTTCTGGAGGCCCCTGAAACATTCTCTGATGAAGGCCCACCAAGAAAGACCAGCTTCAAGCCACGAAAACAGCAATTGCTTAACAGTTGGACTATGATGCATCCGACACAGGCAGTACTCATGTTTTTGTGGTTGCAAGCTAGGGTTGGCTATCCAACGGTCGTACATGTTTGGGGAAGCTGATTTGGACAAATCTTCTGTGTGGCGGAGGGCGGAGTGGTGTGTTTGCTTTTCGGGCGGTTGTTTCCTTAGTTTCTTGGGCCATTTTTCTCTGCTTTTGGGCAGTTGCTGTTGCTTGAAGTTTTTGGTTCGAGTTGAAGGCTAAATGGCTCTGAACTTGAAATGAGTTGTTTGGGTCGAGGGTCTGCAGGAAGCGCATCCAGAACCATGCGTTGGGCCAGTTCGTGAATGATTTTGTGGATCGACGCGACGCAGCGATGCTGACATTGGCACGAAGTCAAGCGGAGGTCTACAAAGGCGCCGCGTAGGGGCGCGACAATGCTTCGATTTGTACCAGGTTTCCTTGGGGCTCTGACGCATCGCAGAAAGTTGTTGCGCAATGTCACGTAAGACTTGCAGTAAAAGCTGTCTCCACCAGAGAGGTTCGGTCAGCTCTTGCTTCGCTCCGCCTGGTTTGGGACTGAACGGATCCCTTTTGGCAAGGCTCCAAAAGTGGATCCCTTGGAAGGGTCTGTTTATTTTGTCCACCAGGAAGGTGGAAAGCGTGGGTTTGGGAATTGGCGTTTGTCATGGCAAGTGCCTTGCCAGGCATGTACAACCATGTCCGGCCTTTGATGGTCACGGGCGCATTGTTGGCCTCGGGGGCGGCAGCAAGCTTTGTGGTGGCCCCGGTTTTCGCACCGGCGCTTCTGACTTCTGCGGCTGTGATAGGCGGGAGGAGCGGGATCCCGGTTTGGCAATTCCGGTTTGTCAAAATGTTTGAAAGCAGACCAGAAGAAAATCCTCGTCACTTGAAGAACGGGGTCGCTAAGCAGAAAAACATCAGATTTGAAATCTTTGCCGTCACAGACTTCCTGGGTTTTCTGCGGAGAGAGCAGTGTGTTGCCCTAGATAAATTATCGTTTGTGGCCATATTGGCGAGTTCACGGATGGTGATTGATTTTTTCCTGTCTGGTTGAGGCTTGATTGCTTTCGATGCGACGCATTTGGCAAACAAGTTCATTGAGCATCTCTGCAACATGATGCCAGCAAGCTCTTTGAATAATGTCGACCCCAGACTGACAAAAGTCACATTCTGACGGGATCACTTTCCTATGCATGGAATGGGATTATTACGCCAGGGTCAACAATAAGCATGTCTTTTCACCGAGCCTTCACAACACTTGCATCTAGCGACAGGCCTTCACCTTCCGCTGGGGGTGATCCATGCTGCAGGGCAGGTACTAACATTTCGTTCAGCATAGAGTTGTTTACCTGCAGGCTGCTCATTTGCACACAATGCTCTCGAGGGGTGTCCACAGGAACAATCCCCTCGGGCAATGACCCGGCACTTCTTGAGCCCCAGTCGATAAAGGCGTGCCGTACGAGGTATTGCAAAATATGCAATGCAGACCCTCTCAGCTGCAACTGCACCAGCGGCGACCTTGCTGCCGAAAGTTGTTTGTGTCAACATTGGATCCCTTGCAGCTGTAGGGATAAGTAAGCGCCCCGCTCCAAGGTTTCCCCATGTTCATTGTCTTCTGACTTTGAAGATTTGGCGCAGGTTATCTTCCATGGTTCGCCACCACGGTGGCCCAGTTTGAGGAAGAGGACATTGGAGAGCAGACGCGGATGTTTACGGAGGAGGACATGTGCAGCCCGCTGAGATGTGCCTTGAAAGGGGCTGTCATCCTCGTCGCTGCGCCCGTGGCTGCCGTTGTGTTCTTCATCCCTTATGGTGGCCTGGCAATCTCGGACCTTTTGGTGGAAAGAAACACGAGGCATGAAGCAGAGAACTAAATCTGCCTGTCAGGCTGTTTTCCCGGCCTGTAATTTGAAAGTGCTACGCAGGTCCGTAGCTCTCGGGCCAGGAAAACTCGGTCGAGGTCGGTGTTTCATGCGGACTGACACCCAAGCAATGTAGCAGAAAGACTCTTCCACCCTACCAGGGTCCACCTGTTCGGGTCGTCGCTGGACAGCAAGGCCTGTACGCTGGAGTGGTGAGGCCCTTGGCACGACTCACCTGCCAAGGCTGGATCTGGGTTTAAGATAAGTCGCTTAGTAGTGCTTTTCTCTGGGGGAGGGTTCCCCTACTAAAACAGACTACAGGAAAAAGAGTACCCTTATTCTGACGTCTCTACTGGAGGACCTAGTTAAGATAAGATGGTAATCAGGAATCTCGAATCATCAACTTGGGTCTTACCTCGATGGGCGATAACCGATACCAGGATGCTCAGAGCTGTGCGTTCTGGGGTTAAGCACGTTCAGACATCAGGGAGACCTGGGATCCATGAGAGAGACCTGGGTCCTGCGTCTGCCGCTGCGGCGTGCATCAGGAAGGAACAGGGCATGACCAGATCCAGTCGGGAAGTTGTCTCAATTGGTTTCTTTGGGCACCTAGGTCAAAGTTGAGCAATTATTGAGATTTGTTTGCTTTCAGCTTTGCGGGATATCGGCTGTTGGATGAATGCTCAAACATCATGCCCCATCGATCGACATTTTTGCAAGTGTGTGTAAGCTTGCTGCTGGCAATCAGGACAGATCCTCACGTGACATGAATGCCCTCATGACTGTCTTCTGTAGCTTGCAGTCATGCTTGCGAAATGGGTACTTGTCTTCCTTTATGCCACTTTGTCATTTGCAGTTTGAAGGCTGGAGCACCTTGCTTACTGAACCTCCAACGAAAGCCCGAACAGAAATCGCCGGGGCGTTTTTTCCACGCGGCGAGGTCTTGTCAACGGTGCCTGCATGCTGCACGTCTACTGCCTGCGGCCAGCTGCGCGATTGTTGGCTCATCTCGGGGCAGCTTGGACGCTCGATGTTTGGTGGTGAATCTGAATTAGTCTGAGCACATCCTTTGCAGTTCCCCAGCACTCAGAGCAGGATAATGATGATATTGGTCATGCTTTGTCTGCTCTGCGTTTAGTGTGCCAAGAATGGGCGAGCCTGAATCCGCAAAGGTCAACCATCCCGGTTGGCACGTGGGCATTTTGTTGGGAACTGCATTTTTTAGCATACTTCCATGACCCGCAAAGCCTGCGCCCTCGCTTGCACGCAAGCCCTGCAGTTTGTTTGACAGTAGTGAGCGTTGGGTTGGCGTGTTGAGGCTGCTTCCAGAGGTTGATGCAGTCTTAACTCTTAACATAAGGGGCTAGACCGCTCAACTCTCGTTTCTCGTTTGTAATTCATATTCAAATTCTTGAAAGGCAATTGACCCAGTCGCCTAATGGGCAAGGCGTTGCTCTGCCCCCACGCAGCAAGTGGCGGCCACAGCAATCATGGTGGTTGGAGTCCACCCTGAGTCGTTTGTTGTTGGGTGATGGGTGTGTTTGTTTGTGTTATGCTTGTGTGTGTGCTGTGTTTGTTTGTGTTGTGCGCGTTGTTTGTGTTGTGTGTGTGTGTGTTGTGTGTGTTGGTGGTGTGTGCGTTGTGTGCGTTTGACAGGGCCTGCTTGGGATTGTCAGTTCGGCTTCTCACATCCGGGCTGCGTGATGCCATATCAGCAGTTGCAACCAGGTTGAGTGAAGAGGCATCTCCAAAGTCATGACATTTCTTGAACGCGCTTGCGGGGTGTAGCGAAAATCATGGACCGCCGCCGCCACCGCCACCACCACCACCACCCCCACCACCACCACCACACCCACCACAACCACACCCACCACCACCACACCCGCCAGAAGCACCAGAAACACCAGAAGCACCAGAAGCGCCAGAAGCACCAGAAGCACCAGAAGCACCAGAAGCACCAGAAGCACCAGCACGAGCACCAACACCAGCAGAGCCAGCACCAGCACCACCATGACCACAACCGTATTAAGAATGATTGTAAGAAGAACACTATTAGCTACTATTATCTCCCCTCCACCACCACCACCACCACCACCAGAAGCACTAGAAGCACCAGCACGAGCACCAGCGCCAGCAGAACCAGCACCACCAGTAGCACCATCATGACCACCTGTAAGAAGAACAACACTAGCTATTATTATCTCAACAACAACAGCAAGACAAGGACAATGACAAAAACACGGGAACAACCAGCACAAAAACAAGAGCAGGAGCAAGATCAGAAGTAGCGGCCGCAGCAGAAACAGCAACAAGAAGAAGACGACGACGACGAGAACGACCACGACCACGCCCACAACAGAACAGCAGCAACAATATAGCAACAATAGCAACAACAACGACGACGACAACGACAACGACACCGGCAACGACCATCGCAACCACCACCACCACCACCACCACCACCACCACCACCACCACCACCACCACCACCACCACCACCAACAACAACAACAACAACAACAACAACAACAACAACAACAACAACAACAACAACAATTACAACCAACACCAACAACAACAATTACAACCAACACCAACACCAACACCAACACCAACACCAACAACAACAACAACAACAACAACAACAACAACAACAACAACAACAACAACAACAACAACAACAACAACAACAACAACAACAACAACAACAACAACAACAACAACAACAACAAAACGACACACAACAACAACAAATAACAAGCAACAAACAAGAAGCAGCAAACAGCACACAACAACAACAAATAACAAGCAACAAACAAGAAGCAACAAACAGCACACAACAACGACAAATAACAAGCAACAAACAAGAAGCAACAAAAAACACACAACAAGCAACCGCCAAGAAACAACAAACAACAAACGCAACAAGCAACACACAACCAACAGCAAGCACCAAGCAACAAGCAACAA